GCCAGTGTGTCCCCCCATCTTCCTCTTCCAGTGTCCCCCCCTGCTCTGCCATGTCCCCCCCTGCTCTGCCATGTCCCCACAGCCCCGGCTGTGTCTCGGTGTCGGGGGAGCGGGGCCGGGGAATCTCTCCGGGTGATTTTAAAGCGCTGTGAAAGTTGCGGGGGGGCTGCCTAAGTGCAAAGTGGTGTTGGAGGGAGGGAGGCGATGACACCCCGCCGGAGAGGAGGAGGCAGCCCCTGCCTGAGCCGATTTATTATTTAGCGCTCACAGATGTCTTGAACTTTTTTTTTTTTTCTCTCAGTTTGAGGACGGGGCCCCTCGCTCGGAGCAGCGAAGGGCCGCGGTCGTTGCGGCTGATCCAAAGTGACAAGGCTTCCAGCTCCTTCCCAAGCGCCTCCAAGAGAGACTAACGGGGACTTGACAGGAGTCCAGCTTTGTTCCCTTCCCAGCCCCGCCGCTTCCCAGGGGCTGGGATGCTGGAGCTGCTGGTGCAGGGACCCAAAATTGCCCCAAATCAGGCTGTGGTGTTACCTCATCGTAAGGTGGGGCTCGGCAGCACCCCAGCTTTGCGTGCCCCATGGATTTGCCCCTTTCCACGGGTCTGGGCACAGTCTCAGGGCTTTTTTTCCCTCACTGCAGCCGCCTGGTTGTTTGGGGGGAGAGATCTGCTGTAAATAAATCAAACCCTGCTCAGCTCCTGGAGGGTGCAGGACCTCTGGGGCAGCAGCAAACGCTGCAAAGAGTCTGGGTGGTTTTTTGGAGGCAAAACGTCCTTGAGCAGGAGCTTTTTGCAGAGGAGGAGTTCGTAGCTGTGCTTCACCCTGGGTGACTGGGAGGTGGCAGAGCCGGGGACTGACAGATCCCTGGCCTGACCTGTTTTGGCATCCTCTTTCCTTGTTTGTCTCCAGCGTGTGCTTAGTCGCACGGGCCGTTAACACAGTGGCCTCCTTGTGCTGTGCTGACGGAGAGGAAAAAATTTTAATACAATGCTTGGCACGGGCTGCGTGGAAACAGCCTTCAGACCTCGACACCTCGCTCCCCCCGGGGTTGTGTGCCCGGCACTGCCAGCCACCGGGCTGGCACAGACACCAGCCCTTTCCCCTGTGGCTCCGCTGGGCTGGGGTTGGGTGTAAAACCCAACATCTCACCCCTGAAGGGAGCAGGGTCCTCTCTGGGATGAGTGGGATGGGATCCAAGGGGGATAACCTTTGCCTCCAGCAAAATGTTGAGCCCCCGGGGAGCTTCATCTCCCTCCCTGTGGAGGAGGAGGAGGCTGCTGGAGCTCCGGGTGGCTCCGGGATCCTGGGGAACGGTCCCTTTTGGATCATGGGCCTCCACGGAAACACCCTGCAGCCCCTGTTCCTGCTGCCACGGCATCTCCACGGGGTTTTGCCATCTGCTGCTCTGGCCACAGCCGCCAGCTTGGCTCGCCCTGCTGCCAGCCTGTTCTGGGTGGCTGCCTCCGGGTCCCACTGACACTTGCTGGTGACTCCGTGGACCCCCCCTGAGCCTTTCGCAGCCGGTTCCTCCTTCCTTTTCTCAAGGGGGGGGACCCTCCTTCCCTCTGTGCTGGCGAACGTGGGGTGCCAGGGTGGGATGGGACAGCCCTGGGTGTCTTCACTTTGGAGAGGGAGGCTCTTTGGCAGCCCAAAAAGCCTTTTTTCCTCAGGAACTGTATAAAACAGACAGGATCTGGTTTGGTCATAGGAATATTTGCCCTTAGAGAGAGAGAGAAGGGGTGTCCAGAGACCTGAGGGTCCCCATGGTGTCTCCCTGCAGGTGACGCACTGGCTTGGCAGATGTTGCCCCAATTGACGTAGGACCCAAGTCGCTTGGGCCGAGGATGAGCAAACCCACAGACCTGCAGCACGACCTGGAACGGAGCCTCCCAGCCATTGCCTCCATCAGCACCTCCTTCTCCCAGAGCCAGGGCTTCTCCCCCTACTACTACGTCTCTCCGGAGAAGAGAAAAGCCATCTCAGATGTGAGGAGGACCTTCTGCCTCTTCGTCACCTTCGACCTGCTCTTCATCTCTTTGTTGTGGATCATCGAATTGAATGTAAGTCTGGGGCAGATAATCCGTGGGGTCTTTACCCTTGTAAGTTGTGGGGTTGTTTTTTTTTTTAAACTCAGTTCCCTCCGCCGTTGATTGCGCTGCTTCACAAGTCTTGGGCCAAGTCTTTGTTTGCTCTTCCCAGCGCTTCTGCTGATCTGGGCTGGCCGAGGAGCCGCCGAGCAGTCGCTCTGAGCTAAAGTCCAGCTCAGTTTCCTGCTGCCTGGCTCTGTTGTGGCCGCCCAGGCTCGTTAACACCATCGCCTGTAACGATCCCCGAGACCTGGGGCCCATGGAATGTCTCTCGTGGAATATCTCTCCTCCTCCCCTCACGTGAAGCTCCTCGCTGGGTTTGCTGGGCAGCCCCCAGCTTCACCACCCTGTAGTTCTCAGAGGAGGATGTGCAGACCCTCCTCTCGCCCTCCCAGCTCTTGGGCAGAGACAAAAGGGGCTCTGAGCTTTGGTCCCAACGTTCTGCTGCTAATCTCAGCTTCTGAAAGCAGGAGGTGCTGCTCCGTGGCACGGGGGAACCCATGAAGGGGAACCCATGAAGGGGAACCCATGAGGGTTTTGGTGCCCTCCGAAGCGGCTGTCACAGGTTGCTGTGTGTTTGCTCAGCACCTCCCCTGTTGCAATTTTCCCTGTTGCCCAGGGAAAATCCAGTTTATTTCCCTCAATCCCGCCAGATCAAAGTTACTCCCCGAGCTGTAGTTTGTTTATCTTTCCTGAACTGGTCCCAACTGGTTTTGGCCATGCTGGGGGTGGGTTTCGGGTACAGGTTGTCCTCCTGTGGAACAACCTGAGCTGGGGGGGGTGAGATGAAGAGATAGACCCCAGTGTGTCTGGCCTTTATTTATCAGCACTGGATCCTGCGCTCACTTAACGGCTCTTATCTCTGCCCTCTTTATCTCCTGGGTGTCTGCACTTAACAGATTGTCTCCGTCAGCAGCTCCCTCCCCCTGCCTGTGTCCAGAGCCTGAAGAGACCCCTCTCTGTGTGTGTGTCCCCACCCCCGAGTAGGAAAAACCATCTCCCAGCCAGCATTCCGGCCGTGCCGACGGTGTCCTGCACCTCCCGGCTTGGACCCCGGCCTCCAGCTCTTGTCCCTGTTCCCTGGGCTCTTTGGAGAAGTGCTGTCTACAAATCAAAAAAAAAACAAATAAATATACCCAGCCTCGGGGAATTAATCTGCCAGCACGGTCACCAGGGTGATGCTGAGCACAGGTCTCGCAGGTAGCCATTAATGAGTGACTAACTGCTGATATTTGGGCCCCGAGCCGAGATGCTGCATATTTAAAGCTATTAGGACAGCTTATTTTCCTACTTATGAAGAGCAGCGATTTTTATATCATGACTAATGCTTTTTTTATCAAACGGTTTTCCTTTCGCTGTGCGAGATAAGCCCAGCAAATTGGCCCCTCGTTAAATGTCTCTTGCCTGCAAACTCTAACCCTCCCAGCTCGCTGCTCCCCGAGAGATGCCTCAGAGATGGTTCTTCCTTCTTCATGGCCCTGGCTTGTATTTAAACCGAAAAAAAGCCTCACGGAAATCAGAATCCAAAGCTTTTTCTGGTGTCTCCTTCTTCCTGCAGCATCTCGTAGAGGGGAAGAGGCTTTGGGAGGTGGCTCAGCAAAGCTGGGCTGGCAGGAATCCCTCAGCCAGGGATCAGATAAAGCAATAGTGCAGAACTGCTTTGCCTCCCCCTTCCCTGAATATTAAACACCGGCCCTGACCTAGAGGGACCGTTTCCCGATGGCTGCCTCTTCTGTCCTTGGACTGCCTGACAAGAGGGTGCCAGGACGTCAGGCTGCCAAGAACTGGCCTGAGATCCACCAACTTGTTTTCTCACAGATCATCAAACAGCTGTCAGCCTGCACCCGCGTCCAGGCCAGCTGGGCTGCGTTCAAACCAATAGCCTAAAGGTGAAGCATTTGTTCCAGTTACCTGAGCCATCCGCTTCCTCATAAACAGCCATTCGGGGCTCCTGAGAAACAAGGATTTATGGTGGCAAAAGCACCAGGACCTGTCAGACCCCAGATTTTCTCGGGGTGAGGCAAGAGGGGTCTTTCCAGGAGCTTTTTTTTCCACAGAGTATCCCAGAAAGCTGGTTTGCCTCTTTCAGATTTCCTTGCAGCCTCTCTGTGCATGTCCCTCCTCCTCCTCCTCTCCTTCCTCCCTCTCCTTCCTCCCTCTCCTTCCTCCCTCTCCTTCCTCCCTCTCCTCCCTCTCTCTCCTCCCTCTCTCTCCTCCCTCTCCTCCTCTCCTTCCTCTCCCCCTTCCCCAGTGCGTTCCCCAGTCTTATGAGGAGAGGCTGAGGGAGCTGGGGGTGTTCAGCCTGGAGAAGAGGAGGCTGAGGGGAGACCTTATTGCTCTCTACAACTCCCTGAAAGGAGGGTGTAGAGAGGTGGGGGTCGGTCTCTTTTCTCAAGTCACAGGTGACAGGACAAGAGGAAACGGCCTCAAGTTACACCAGGGGAGGTTCAGGCTGGATATTAGGAAAAAATTTTTCACTGAAAGGGTTCTCAGCCATTGGAATGGGCTGCCCAGGGAGGTGGTTGAGGCACCATCCCTGGAGGTGTTCAAAAGCCGGGTTGATGTAGTGCTGGGAGGTCTGGTTTAGTGATGATGCTCCTTGTTTGTTGTGTGGGTGTCTATTTTTGTCAGTTGGGTTGACGGTTGGACAAGATGATCTTTAAGGTCCCTTCCAACCTAGAAGATTCTGTGATTCTGTTTGAACCTGCCGTTTGCCTTCCTGGCTCAGACATCCTGGAGGGCAGCTCCGCGTCGCTGCGAGCCGTGGGGAGCCAGCTGGTCTGCAGGGAAGGAAGGAGAGGGGACCCCTGGGTGCTTTGCACAGCGAGGACAATGGCAGCTTAAATCCCACCACTTCCATCACAAGATGATTCAAGGATTGGAGCATCTCCCTTATGAGGAGAGACTGAGAGAGCTGGGACTCTTTAGTCTGGAGAAGAGAAGGCTGAGGGGAGACCTTATTAATGCTGACAAGTATCTCAAGGGTGGGTTGAAGGAGGAGGGAGCCAGACTCTAGGCAACCCTGCTTCAGGGGGAGTTGGACTAGATGATCTCTATGGTCCCTTCCAACTCTAAAAATTCAGTGAAATTCAGTGAAAATTCCCTGTGTGACCCCTGAGAGCCCTCCCAGGGAGATGTTTGGGGTGTCCAGCTGTGGGAGACGCTTTGCTGGGCCATTACTAAAGGTGCTAGAGAAAAATTCAGTGAAATTCAGTGAAAATTCCCTGCATGACCCCTGAGAGCCCTCCCAGGGAGATGTTTGGAGTGTCCAGCTGTGGGAGACGCTTTGCTGGGCCGTTACTGAAGGTGCTAAAACAGCAGTTTCCTGTTCTTTTTCATTTTTTCACTTTTTGGGGGGTTTTTCTACATCTCCTCCCATACAGCTGAAGTCTGTCACCTGAAGCCACGCGTGGGAGGGGATGTCCAGCCAAGCTTTACAGCTGTGAGAGTTGTGCTGAGCCAAAAGAGCGGGTTTTCAGCGTTAGAAAAGCCCCACGTGGGAGTGTTTTTAATGTGCCCACGTGCTGCTCCGGCTCCGGCTGCCCGACCTCGTGCTCCTCCCTGTGAAACCGAGGGTGAAATGGGCTGTCACATCCTCCCCTGGTCCTGCCTTGGCAGAGGAGCCCACAGCAGGACTTTGTATGCCCCATGCATGACCTGACCCGGCGGTAACCCCCCGCTCACCGCTCGGCCGGGTTCTTTCTACCATTAGTTTCTTATCAGTGCACTCAATAGCTTTCTGCTTTCCTCCTCTCTCCCCTTCAGACCAAGGATGGCATTCAGAAGAACCTGAAGAATGAAATCATCGAGTACAAATTTAAGTCCTCTTTCTTCGATATATTTGTGAGTATCACAGAGTGCTGCAGGTGAGGAAACGGCTTCGGAGCTCGGGGTGACGAGGCTGAAGGATGGGCAGGGAGGGTCTGCATGCCCAGGGGGGTGTCCTGGGGGCTTTTTGCCCCTCGCCTGGTTGAGGGAAATCAGGCAGGTCACAGCCTGTCCTGTGGAAGCCTTGACCCTATCTGGCTGGGTGGCGATGTCCTCGGGAGCTGGCCCCGTCTCTGTGTCCTCCCAGCACCTGGCAGAGGGACAAGGGCAGTGATTAGTGTCGATGGCTTTTTGTTTTTAAAGGTCTTGGCTTTCTTTCGGTTTTTTGTGTTGCTGCTGGCCTATGCCATCGTAAAGCTGCGCCACTGGTGGGTCATAGCGGTAAGAAGGCCATTTCTGCTTTCCTGTTTTTTAGTTTTTGCTCTCTCCTCCTGGACTTTGCAGGGATCTGAGCTACGTAAATTGATTTTTCAGGTCACTACATTGGTATCCAGCGCCTTCCTGATCGTGAAGGTCATCCTCTCCGAGGTTGGTTTCCTTGGGCTCACAGGGGGATTGCTTTGTGATTACTCGACGCTGATGTTTCCCCCTTTGTGTTAAACTCTCCCTGGTTTCTCCTTTCTTCCCCCCCTGCAGCTTCTGACCAAAGGGGCTTTCGGTTATTTACTTCCCATCGTCTCGTTTGTCATTGCCTGGCTGGAGACTTGGTTCCTTGATTTTAAAGTCCTAACTCAGGAAGCCAAAGAGGAACGCTGTGAGTATTTTCACTCCCCTTCTGGGAGGAGTTGGCAGCTGAGAGCACCGGGCCTGGGGTTTCTGCTGCTTTGGCAGCACCTTGACAGAGATGACATTTATGGAGAAGTCATCTCCAGGCTGGCTGTGACGGTGCGCGCCTGACTCAATTCTGTTATGGTATATAAAAGTCCCTTCAGGGGAAGAAAATACCAGATTATAAAAAGCATCTTTTAATTGGGGTGGAGAAAAACGTGCCAGATTCTCCCAATGTCTGGATCCCGAAGCCAGACAACGTTGGAAAGGGAGCTCACCTCCGCGTGGCAGAAAATGTTTTGAAACAGTGGGAGGGCTGCCAGGAGGACTCTTGGACTCTCCGTCCCTGGGTATCTGTCCCTGGATCGGGGCTGGGGACCTTTCAGAGAGGATTGCTTCACTCCCCAACGCCTTGCAGGGGCGCGGCCTGTGAGTTATGGGGTGTGAAATTTTCCAGCCCCTGCTCGCTGAGGTCAGATTTAAACGGAGAGCGGGTCTGACCTAATGCTTCACGAATTACCCCGCGGTGCTGGGCGCCTGGATCTTCCCCAGGGTCCCTTCCAGGGAGCGGGTTTTCGGGCCTGGACTGGCACGTCTGCCCCTTCCTAAGGTGGCCAAAGGAGTTTTGTGGCTCTCCTGGGCTTCGCTGACGTAAGAGGAGTTGGGAAATGGCACGTAAATGAAGGAGGATTTGTCAGGCGGGGCTCGGTCCGAAATGCACTGAGTGACTGGAAAACACCAGAGGATGTTTGGGTCTTGCAAGGAGGCTTTAAGATGAAAAATGATCAAGTGTTTAATGCCTCTATTGGATTAGGCTCAGGTTCCAAATTGCTTCCAGGGGAAGCTCTTATTTAATTAGATGCTTAATCGCCTTTGGATTTGACAGGCAAAAGAGCCCATTGATCTCCATGCAGATAAAATGTCTCAAACAAAAGATGAGGCAATAGGAGCTGAAAAGCTTGTGGGCTGGCTGGTGTCGGGCGCGAAAAGACCGCCTGTGTCTGAGGGACAAGGGCAGTGATTAGTGTCGATGGCTTTTTGTTTTTAAAGGTCTTGGCTTTCTTTCGGTTTTTTGTGTTGCTGCTGGCCTATGCCATCGTAAAGCTGCGCCACTGGTGGGTCATAGCGGTAAGAAGGCCATTTCTGCTTTCCTGTTTTTTAGTTTTTGCTCTCTCCTCCTGGACTTTGCAGGGATCTGAGCTACGTAAATTGATTTTTCAGGTCACTACATTGGTATCCAGCGCCTTCCTGATCGTGAAGGTCATCCTCTCCGAGGTTGGTTTCCTTGGGCTCACAGGGGGATTGCTTTGTGATTACTCGACGCTGATGTTTCCCCCTTTGTGTTAAACTCTCCCTGGTTTCTCCTTTCTTCCCCCCCTGCAGCTTCTGACCAAAGGGGCTTTCGGTTATTTACTTCCCATCGTCTCGTTTGTCATTGCCTGGCTGGAGACTTGGTTCCTTGATTTTAAAGTCCTAACTCAGGAAGCCAAAGAGGAACGCTGTGAGTATTTTCACTCCCCTTCTGGGAGGAGTTGGCAGCTGAGAGCACCGGGCCTGGGGTTTCTGCTGCTTTGGCAGCACCTTGACAGAGATGACATTTATGGAGAAGTCATCTCCAGGCTGGCTGTGACGGTGCGCGCCTGACTCAATTCTGTTATGGTATATAAAAGTCCCTTCAGGGGAAGAAAATACCAGATTATAAAAAGCATCTTTTAATTGGGGTGGAGAAAAACGTGCCAGATTCTCCCAATGTCTGGATCCCGAAGCCAGACAACGTTGGAAAGGGAGCTCACCTCCGCGTGGCAGAAAATGTTTTGAAACAGTGGGAGGGCTGCCAGGAGGACTCTTGGACTCTCCGTCCCTGGGTATCTGTCCCTGGATCGGGGCTGGGGACCTTTCAGAGAGGATTGCTTCACTCCCCAACGCCTTGCAGGGGCGCGGCCTGTGAGTTATGGGGTGTGAAATTTTCCAGCCCCTGCTCGCTGAGGTCAGATTTAAACGGGGAGCGGGTCTGACCTAATGCTTCACGAATTACCCCGCGGTGCTGGGCGCCTGGATCTTCCCCAGGGTCCCTTCCAGGGAGCGGGTTTTCGGGCCTGGACTGGCACGTCTGCCCCTTCCTAAGGTGGCCAAAGGAGTTTTGTGGCTCTCCTGGGCTTCGCTGACGTAAGAGGACTTGGGAAATGGCACGTAAATGAAGGAGGATTTGTCAGGCGGGGCTCGGTCCGAAATGCACTGAGTGACTGGAAAACACCAGAGGATGTTTGGGTCTTGCAAGGAGGCTTTAAGATGAAAAATGATCAAGTGTTTAATGCCTCTATTGGATTAGGCTCAGGTTCCAAATTGCTTCCAGGGAAAGCTCTTATTTAATTAGATGCTTAATCGCCTTTGGATTTGACAGGCAAAAGAGCCCATTGATCTCCATGCAGATAAAATGTCTCAAACAAAAGATGAGGCAATAGGAGCTGAAAAGCTTGTGGGCTGGCTGGTGTCGGGCGCGAAAAGACCGCCTGTGTCTGGAAGAAAGTGGCTGGGAGGGTTGGTTGAGTTAGGGATGGATGGGGGGGGGGTTCTGGGACCCCTCGGTGTCGAAGTGTTGGACTCTGTGTGTGTAAAACCCGGTGCTTTGGTTGGCAGGGTACCTGGCAGCCCAGGCTGCAGCCTCTCGTGGGCCCCTGCTGTACCCCAGAGCCCTTTCTGAGGGGCAGTTCTACTCCCCGCCGGAGTCCTTCGCAGGTAAGATGTGCTCCTCCTCCTCTTCCTCCTCCTCCTCCTCCTCCCCTCCTTCTGCCCTCACCTCACCGCCTCCTTTCCCCACCTTGTTCCCTTCTCAGCATTCCTCCTGGGTCTCCTCACCTCTGTAACCACCTCCTCCCCGAGTTCTTGTCTCATTATCCCAGCCCCTGGCAGCGGTGGGTGGTGGAGCCTCCAAGAACTGACGCTGCAAAACCAGGCCCCCCTCTCCTCACCCTGTGCAAGACAGGGGGGACATGGCCACACACTGTCCCCGTGCCATCTGCAGAGCATCATCAAGCTCTGCCTCACGTGCTTGGCTTCAGCTCTGTGGGAAAGGGGAGCCTTTTGTGGTCTTGGGGTTAAATGCCATGGCTGAAGTACTCCAAAAATGCTGCCCTGAGGATGAGGGCATGGGGTGTGTGTGGGGGGGGTCGCTGTCCCCGTGCCATCTGCAGAGCATCATCAAGCTCTGCCTCACGTGCTTGGCTTCAGCTCTGTGGGAAAGGGGAGCCTTTTGTGGTCTTGGGGTTAAATGCCATGGCTGAAGTACTCCAAAAATGCTGCCCTGAGGATGAGGGCACGGGGTGGGGGTGGGGGGGGGTTGAGTGGCCACAAGCAGGTGAGGATAAGAGCTGGCATCATGCCACCAGCTTCGTGCTGGCTCCAGAGACCTCCCCTGCTCTGGAGAGGGAGGAAATGTCAACTGGAGCAGTTGTTGTCTCGGTGTAGCTGACACTCACTCCGTGCTCAGCCTCCCCGGAGAGCTGGGGGTCAGCCAGCTGCAGAGCTGGGGCTGTCCCCACCAACAGCCCTTCCCAGCAGACATGGGGATGGGACACTGTCTGTTCTACAAGCGGGGTCTTCATCAGCTCTGTGTTAATTGTGTGCTTCCCCCCCCGTCCCCAGGGTCGGACAATGAGTCGGATGAGGAAGGTGCGGGGAGGAAGGCGCTGACAGCTCAGGTAAACAGAGGCAGCGTGGCCTGAGGTTGGCCAGCCCTGCCCTGGCAGGTTGATCCAGGGCCATGGGAGGTTCCAACGATCCTGCAGCTCCATCAGGACACCCAGGGGCTGCTGTCCCTCCTGTCACAGCCCTCTGTTCTGGTGGCATCATGGTCACAGCAGGAGGGGCTCCTTGGGGTAACACCCCACATGAACCCCCTTCCCCGGGGCTGGGCTCTGCCTCCTGCCTGTCCCTCTCTCCCCATCCTTCTTCGGTCCCTGACACACCAAGAGGGGCATCACCTCAAACCATCCCTGCTGAGCTGTGGCTCCTGGGGTGGCCCTTTGCCTCCCCGAATTCTGGGACTGGGCACAGGCTCCTTCCTGCTCCTTTCCAAGCCGTTCCGCTGCCGGTCAGCCCTGGTTCTGGCAGCTCCACAGAAGGAAGCCCTGGGCATCTCACAGCCCTTTGCCTGCTGGAAACCCTTCCGTTGGGGCAGGAGGCTCACTGGTGGACACAGCTGGTGTGTGGATACCAGCCAGGGTTGGGAGAGTGACTTAGAGCTCCAAAATGAGGCCTCGGTGACCCAAATTGAGGGTTTTCTGCGGTGATGGGAGAGATCCCCTCTCCCTGTGCCAGCCCTGGGGGGGGGGGTGAGGGGTGTAACCAGCCTTGCACCCACATTTTGGGCTTCCTGCAAACCCAGCTGATGGGCTGCTCCCTTCTCTCCTAGGAAAAAGAGTACATCCGCCAGGGGAAAGATGCGATGGAGGTTGTGGACCAAATCCTCGCCCAGGAGGAGAACTGGAAGTTCGAGAAAAACAATGCAAGTGTCATCTGTGTGTGTGTGTGTGTGTTTGTGTGTGTGTGTGTGTGTGTGTGTGTTTGTGTGTGTGTGTGTGTGTGTGTGTGTGTGTGTCCCGACCCCACCTGCCGGCAGAGAGCACGGATGGCTTAACAAAAACGGGAGGAGAAATGAGGCTTTTGAAACCTCCTTGCGACATGAAAAATTAACAAGCGTTACAATTACCTGATTGAATTAGGAATCTATTCCAGTTCAGTTAAATGTAAAATCCCCTCTTATTTAATTAGACGTTTAATTGCCTTCCCGTTTGACAGGAGAGAGCCCAGCACCCCTCCCTCTAGACGGCAGGGGCAGGCAGCTCACCTTTGGTAGCCCTTGGGCTACTGGAGGGCCCTGTGGCTGCAGGTTCTGCCTTCGCTCCGTGGCACGGTGCCTTTGAGCATCCTGGGGAGATGGATCCAAACTGGGATCTGGCCTTTCTGCCCAGGAGAGTGTGGGACAAACTGCTCCTCCCACCCCCAAAGCTCTTTGTGTCCCCACTTCCCCAGGACAGGGACCCTGTGGGTGCTGGAGCATAAATTGGGGACGTGTCATCTTTCTGCTGTGGCTTTGCCAAAGGGGTCTGCAAGTCGCACCCCTTCTTTTGGGCAGCACAGAGGCCCCCAAAACAAAGTGGGGACCCCCATCTGCCTCTTTCCTCACTGCACTGGTTCATTCCCTGAGCCACAGTTGAGTTTTTTGGAGTATTAGAGCTCCTTCCTCTCCCCAAAGGGTGGAAAGGGAGAAAGGGGGTGGTGTCTCTGCCCCCTAAACCCAACCTTGCTTTCTGCTTGTGGGTCCGCAACGTGAGTGGGGTGAGAGTCCTGCAAACTGCAGTCTCATCTGGTGTTTAAAATTCCCTTGTCAAGTGATCCATTGTCTGATGCCAAACTAGCTGGGCAGATTGTTTTCTTTATCCGAGGCGGGGAAGGTTGGGGGGGGAGGGATGGATTTAAATAGACTAATCAGAGTTTAACACGGGGCTAACATGAAAGGTTATCATCTGTCCATCCCTGACCCCTCCGGGGAGTCTCTCCTGGGATGTAGGTAACAACAGTGGTGTTGGCAAAGCAACCCCTTTTCCCTTGTCCCGGCCTCGGGAGCTCGTTACGGAGAGAATGTGACCTTGAGGGGGGGTTCACAGCCTCATGTGGGGTGGATTCTTTTTCTGTCTCGTCGCTGCTGCTAGTTGGGATGTTGTTTTGTTTATGGAAATTTGTGCCTGTGCATCTAAAACACACTGGGTGCAGTTCCCATCCTGGGGGTCGCTGCCTGGTGCCCGGGGGGGACACGAGGGGACACTCGAGGGATGTCACGTGAGGTGGGATGGCTCCTTCAGCCCCAGCCTGTGCAGGTTTTACCCCAGATAGAAGGGATTTCTTTTCACTATCATAAATGTGACTTTCTTATTTCCTGCACAGGACTTTGGTGATGTTGTTTACACTTTTGAAATACCTTTCCACGGCAAGACCTTTATTTTAAAGGTAAGAACCTTCCTGGGTCACTTCCTCGGTGCTGTGGGGTACGGGCAAAGGGTGGCTGCTCTCCTCAGAGCCACGGCTCAGCTTTCAGGCTCTCCCCTGGCCCTGGCAGGGCAGGTCAGGCTGCAAACACACTCTCTCTTTGCTTGAGACAGATGAACCGTGCTCCTCGCTCTAGGGAATCTCTCCAGGAAAGCCCCTTGGCTGGCAGACAAACTCCCCAGCAAATATGCTCGGGCCCCAGTCTCTGCTGGTAGAAGTGGGAGCAGGTGACTGCAAGACTCGTTTCCAACCCCAGCGTCTAGGACTAATCTGACCAAGGAGGCTAATTGCAACTAATTGCCAGCAAGACCAGGGCTGAGCGTGCGTCTGCTGCCGCCTGGCATGGAGAAGAGCTGCTCGGAAGTGCCTTGCTCCGTGCCCTCTCGCTGGAGTGGTTTGGCTGGAAACCATGCTTTAATGAAGCATTGGTGCTGCGGTGGCTTTTCTTTGTTCCAGTGCATATGTTGCCTCGCTGGCAGGAGCTGCCGATGGAGCAGCTCTCTATTCCCGAGGAAAAAAAATAGAAAAAAAAAGCAAACGCTGGCAGGAGCTGCCGATGGAGCAGCTCTGTATTCCCGAGGAAAAAAGAAAAAAAAAAAGCAAAAAAAAGCAAAGCTGGATGGTCCCACTTTACTGCATTAACTGTTTGCCTCCAAAGATCCCCCGTCCCATGGGGATGTGGAGAAATGAACGTTGTCGGCGCTGGAGCTCGGAAAAGAAAAGCTTTTCAGCAACTTCCCAAAAGCAGAAGTGCTGAGGAAGTGGGGTGAGGGTGGGGAGAGGAGCCAGCCCTGAGGTCTGTCTGTCTCCCCGTGTTACAGACGGACTCTCTGACCTCGGCAGGACCTCGACAACTGCTGGGACCCATGGTCTGCTCTGTCCTCTCTGGCTCCACGTGTCCTTCCAGGCCCCTGGGGACCAGCGAGCTGTGGCAGAAGGGTGACAGCTTTGAGCCAGTCCGACCTCCCCAGTGCCCTCCTCTGTTATCCCAGTTGTTCTGCCTTGGCCTTCCTTAAAAAAATAACCTTACCAAAGTGGAGCTGGGGGGGGAACCTTCTCAAACTGCTCTGGCTCTTTCCTCAGGCTTTCCTGCAGTGCTCTGCTGAAACGGTTTACCAGGAGGTTATTCTCCAGCCCGAGAAGATGATCTTGTGGAACAGAACGGTGGCAGCTTGCCAGGTGAGAGCGTGCAGGACAAAGATGGCTTAATCACAGCGAGCTCCTTGGAGCGGGGAGAGCTTGGAGCTTCCCCATCCGACGCCGGCTGTCGGCGATGCCCGGGCTCTTACTGGAGCTTTTAGCTGGATCCCAGTCGCTGAGGCGTTAAATCTCCACCGCTCAGCCCTACCATCCGAATGCTCCATGGTAGCCAGCTGCCTGCCTGTGCCCAGCCAAAAACCCACGAGGTGGGCAAGGAGATGGGCCAGCAGGCTCAGCCCAGCCTGATTTTTTTTATTCTTTGGGAGGATTTGGGTGTTTCACACACCCTTGGTGTGGTGGGGGGTGGCAACTCCTGTACCCCCTCCCAAAAAGGCAGAGGGACCAGCGCAGGAGACAAACCTGTGCCCACGCTGCCAAGGAGCCTGTTCCCCTCAGCCTCAGATCAGCTCCTAAAGACCCTGAATCCTGCTGCTGTTGTAGGGGAGGGTGGGTATCATAGAATCATAGAATGGTCTAGGTTGGAAGAGACCCTTGGGATCATCGAGTCCAACCATCTCCCCTACTCTACAAAGTCCTCCCCTACACCATGTCCCTCAGCACTGCATCTAAACGGCCCCTAAACACAGCCAGGGATCACCCAGCTGTTGGCACCTGCAGGCACAGCCTGAGGAAATATCTCTCTTTTTTTTTTTTTATTTTCTCTCCCTCTCCACCACCCCATCCCTCCCCAGATCTTGCAGCGGGTTGAAGACAACACGATCGTCTCGTACGACGTGGCAGCCGGGGCGGCGGGCGGTGTCGTTTCCCCAAGGTCAGTTTATTCCCCTTCTCTGTTCCTTTCTGAGCCCCCTCCACACCTTCCAAAAAACAGGGAGAGAACCATCTGACCGTGCTGAGAACACTCTGCCCCGCTCCTCGCCGGCCGGGAGCTCCCGGTGCCAACGAGGCAGGGCTGGCTGGGGCTGTGGGTAACGCTCCCAAAGGCAAAGAGCCCCCAAATTCTCCTCCAGACGTTCCTGGCAGGAATCTCAGAGCTCAAAAATCTGTCTCAGTCAGTCAGTCGGGCTCCCTGATAACAGCACTGCACTGGGCTTTGTCCCTGTGTTGACACACCGCTGCCACAGCCTTTCCCAGAGAGCAGGACCTGCTCCTTCCATGTCCTGTTGCACATTTTTAAAGCACTCAGCGCCCTTTTTTTAATGGCTTTGGGGTTTTTTTTGTGTTTTTTTTTTCTTTTTAACTTTTTTTGCTTAGGGATTTCGTGAACGTGCGGCGGATCGAGAGGAGAAGAGACAGGTACATTTCCTCAGGGATGTCGACCACGCACAACCTGAAGCCTCCGCTCTCCAAATATGTCAGGTAAGAGGCAGGTTCTATTAGTATGATTAATTTTATTAATTTTTTTTTTTTAGCTGGGATCTGACACGCGCGCGCTTCGTTTCAGCTCGGGGCCAAGCTGAAGCTTCGTTTCATTTTTAAATGAAAACCCTGCTGTCTTTCTGGCAGCCTTTGCAGGAAGCTGATCTATTTGTGGAAACTAAACCTTGCTTCCCTTGTTCTTCTCCCTTTGTTGAAGAAACTCTCCGTGCCTCTCGCTCGGTGTTGCTCGGGCGTTTCCCAGCTCAGGGGGGGGAGTGGAGGTGCCGACCAGGAACAGCACAAACCCCAACCCAGTCCGCATCCTGTTTGTGTAACACTTAATTCCCAAACAGAGCTGGCTGCCATTCCTGAGGGGCACTAAACAGCTGACCGTGGCTCGTTTTGAGCCTCCCAAATGCCTTTTGCTCCTCGTAAGCCCCGTCACTTGCTGGCTTTAAAGGCTGCGGAGGTTGGGAGATGGTCCCGTGGGGGGAAAAGGGGCTGCGTCAGGACGGAGCGGCTCCTAAAGTGGTGACAAGGTTCTTTGGCCTCTCCCTTTCCGAAGGGACAGCTTCTCCAGGCTGCTGATGGATCTCGGCGGGGCTGGGCTCATCAAACAAGGACTCCTTGTTACTGTCTGCGCCGGTGCCTGGGGCCCAGCTGTGCCACTTCGCGCACTGACTTTGTTTTTCCTAATAATCTGGTTAAAGTAATTGACATTTTAACTCGGAGCCCGTTACAGCTGCCTCAGTCTATTTAAGAGCTGGGGATTTCAGGGCCCTAGAAAAAAATCTTTTTTACAAACCTACCCGGCGAAAAAAATAGCGTGGTTTCTGAACAGGGAACCCAAAATCTGTGTTTGGGCTGCGCGGCGGGAGCGTAGCTCTTGTCTCGGAGACGGATCAGATGGTGTGAGGAGGGATCTGGGGGCTGCAGAGACACGAGGCTCCCCGCTCCAAGCCTGTCCTGACCCCACAGGGCTTCCCTGCACCCATTTCCACAGGGTTGTGCCTTGGAAACACCCCCCCAGGTGATGAAGGACGGGGCTGGTGTGTGTGAGGAGGGATCTGGGGGCTGCAGAGACACGAGGCTCCCCGCTCCAAGCCTGTCCTGACCCCACAGGGCTTCCCTGCACCCATTTCCACAGGGTTGTGCCTTGGAAACACCCCCCCAGGTGATGAAGGACGGGGCTGGTGTGGTCCAGAGGCAGAAGATGCTCCTCAGCCTTGGTCCTGCGGCCGCCCTGGCACCACCACTGCCAAGGCACCTGTGGGGAACCTGCCTTGCCATGCTCACTGCTGCACCCACAGCCAACACAGACCCTTCCCGGGTGCTCTGTGCATCTGTACCCCCCCTCCAGGCTCTAATCCTCACTGCCAGGCAGAGGAGGGGGGGCTGCTGCTGCCGGAGCCGGCGCAGGATGGGTGCCCTGCACCCCGGAGCGTTAGGAAATGGTTTATTGAGCCAACCCCGGGGCTGACTGTTGTGCTCTGGCTTCCCTGCAGGGGAGAGAACGGACCCGGAGGATTCATCGTGTTGAAATGTCCCAGCAACCCCAGGGTCTGCACCTTCATTTGGATTCTCAACACGGACCTGAAGGTAAAAAGGGTTCCTGGCTGACGCGGGAGCGCTGCCACCATATCCTGTCCCCAGCAGAGCTCACGGCCACCTGCAGGCTGCCATCCTGCTGGCCCCTTCCAAAAGCAGCTCAGTATCGAAGGCTGCCCTGAAAGGACCAGAGTTTTGCTGGTGGAGGTTAAACACTACCTGAAAATCACCCTTTTTCCCCCCAACACGAGGTGGGGAAGCTCTTCCTTACCTGGCTGAGACCTTGCTTGGGGGTTTCAGGTCTCTGTGTGCAGGATTGAGGGGCAAGAGATTTTTAATCTCTTTGGGGACCAAAAATAGTTGGGGGTGTGTGGTCTGGCTGCTCCTAGGGACCTGCTAGAGGGGGATTCACTCACCCCTGCTCCCAGGGACCCCTCTACAACCACGGACCCCCCCTCGGGGGCTGTCCCTGCACCCGGGGAAAGGCGCTTTGCCCCTGTGAGATGCCCCGGGTCTGGAGCTGTTTCTCTGTGTTCCAGTCCTTGCTGGTGGCCCAGACAAAAGGCAGGGCAGGAAGGGAGCTGGGGTCGGGAGGATGGAATGGCTGGCTGGGGAGGGGAGCAGAACTGGCCCGTTTTCTTCCTCCGCTGAAGGTTGACGTGGTAACGGGGCGCTGCAGCAGCGAGCACAAAGGCTCCATTCATCAGCGCTCTGCTGCAAAGCCCCCCTCCCCTCCCACGTCCCTCCCTCCCTCCCTCCCTGCAAACTCCAGCAGCTCCTGCTTTGGGAAACAATTTTGGGAAAAGGATTTGCAGAAGCGTTTGCCCGGGCGGCGAGAGCAGGGGCAGAGCAGAGCGTGGCCTCCTGCCCTTTTATTTTTTAGGGTTTTTTTGGCTCTGCATCTGTGTTTTCATCCACGGAGCTGGCTCAGATGCCCCCTCTGAAACGCCTGGGTTTGGGGGGAGAATGAAACCCCCACTTGGTTGTGCAAGATGGGGCTTGGAAAGGAAAGATGTTGCTTGTGTTTCCCTTGTCACCCACCGCCCGCCTCCGCTGCCGGAGAGATGCCGGAGCGGCCGAGCTATTAATAAGCTGCTTGTCAATGGCTTCCACCATCTTCCTGAAGGGCCCTGCCCGTGCCCAGACCCACTCTTCTCTCCTGCCTTGCCATTTCCTTTAGCCCTGGAGAAGTATTTATAGCCCATGGCTCATCTCTTCCTGCCACCGAGGGTGAGAATTACACACACACGTGTGTTTGTGTGTGTTTTTGTGTCCCTGACGCAGCTTCGCCCTGGGAGCTCCTTTCAGGGAAGTGTCTGAAATGGCCCCTGGACCAACGGTCCCACCATCTCCTGTCCCTGTGTCGCAGAGAAAACCTGCTTCAGGGAAAAGTCTGTGCCTCCTGCCCTGCTGAACCGCCCCAATCTAAGGGTGGGGTCCTTCTGTGCCTACCAGAATCCCCAAAAATAGTCAGTCAGCCATCCCTGCCTGCACCCAGGACCCTCTCTCTGCCCCGGGACCCTGCACAAGCCCCCGCTGCTGCTCCCAGCCTTTTCTCAGCTCCCTTCCCCCGCAGAGCCAAGGATTATATATATTATTTTTTTTTCTTTCTTTCTTTTTTTTTTTTAAATGCATCTCACATAATAGAGCGCGGGCCGAGGCGGTTGGGGTTGAGTCGTGCAGGGCTTTTTTAGAGAAATCAAAACGCGTTTCAGTTCCTCCCCCGGAGAAAACTCCTTGAAAGCGGCAGCTCCCCGCTGCGGTGCTCGTGCAGCCCTGGGTGCTGGCAGCACTGGGTCGGGGTGGGGGTCACGGTGCTCGTGCAGCCCTGGGTGCTGGCAGCCCCGGGTCGGGGTGGGGGTCAGCCCCACATCCCTCAGCCCGGGCTGATGTCCCCCAGGTTGGGATTGGGGTCAGCCCCACATCCCTCGGCCCTGACACCCCCAGGTTGGGATGGGGACCAGCCTCACATCCCTCAGCCCTGGCTGATGTCCCCCGGGTCGGGATGGGGGTCAGCCCCACATCCCTCAGCCCTGACACCCCCAGGTCGGGGTGGGGGTCAGCCCCACATCCCTCAGCCCGGGCTGATGTCCCCTGGGTCAGGATGGGGGTCAGCCCCACATCCCTCAGCCCTGACACCCCCAGGTTGGGATGGGGGCCAGCCCCACATCCCCTGGGTCAGGATGGGGACCGGTCCTGCATCCTTCATCCCTGGTGGCCCTGGGTCAGGGTGGGGACCAGCCCCATGTCCCTCAGCCCGGGTTGGCACCCCCTGGGACACAATGTGGAGTGGCCCCACATCCCTCAGCCCGGGCTGATGTGCCCTGGGATGGGATGGGGACCAAACCCCACATCCTTCATCCCGGGTTGATGTCCCCTGGGTTGGGATGGGGACCAAACCCCACATCCTTCATCCCGGGTTGATGTCCCCTGGGTTGGGATGGGGACCAAACCCCACATCCTTCATCCCGGGTTGATGTCCCCTGGGTTGGGATGGGGACCAAACCCCACATCCTTCATCCCGGGTTGATGTCCCCTGGGTTGGGATGGGGACCAAACCCCACATCCTTCATCCCGGGTTGATGTCCCCTGGGTTGGGATGGGGACCAAACCCCACATCCTTCATCCCAGGCTGATGTCCCCTGGGTCGGGATGGGGGTCAGCCCCACATCCCTCAGCCCGGGCTGATGTCCCCTGGGTCAGGATGGGGGTCAGCCCCACATCCCTCAGCCCTGACACCCCCAGGTTGGGATGGGGGCCAGCCCCACATCCCCTGGGTCAGGATGGGGACCGGTCCTGCATCCTTCATCCCTGGTGGCCCTGGGTCAGGGTGGGGACCAGCCCCATGTCCCTCAGCCCGGGTTGGCACCCCCTGGGACACAATGTGGAGTGGCCCCACATCCCTCAGCCCGGGCTGATGTGCCCTGGGATGGGATGGGGACCAAACCCCACATCCTTCATCCTGGGCTGATGTCCCCCAGGTTGGGATGGGGACTGGCCCCACATCCTTCATCCCGGGCTGATGTCCTCTGGGTTGGGATGGGGACCAAACCCCACATCCTTCATCCCGGGTTGATGTCCCCTGGGTTGGGATGGGGACCAAACCCCACATCCTTCATCCCAGGCTGATGTCCCCTGGGTCGGGATGGGGGTCAGCCCCACATCCCTCAGCCTGGGGTTGATGTCCCCTGGGTCAGTCTGGGGACCAAGCCCCACATCCCTCAGCCTGGGTTGGGATGGGGACCAAACCCCACATCCTTCATCCCAGGCTGATGTCCCCTGGGTCGGGATGGGGGTCAGCCCCACATCCCTCAGCCTGGGGTTGATGTCCCCTGGGTCAGTCTGGGGACCAAGCCCCACATCCCTCAGCCTGGGTTGGGATGGGGGTCAGCCCCACATCCCTCAGCCCTGGCTGATGTCCCCCGGGTTTGGATGGGGACCAAGCCCCCCATCCCTCAGCCCAGGCTGACCCCCCCAGGGTCGGAATGGGGACCAGCCCCACACCCCTCAGGTCAGGATGGGGACCAGCCCCCCATCCCTCAGCCCTACCTCACGTCTCCTGCTCTGCTCTCCCCCCAGGGTCGCCTCCCCCGGTACCTGATCCACCAGAGCCTGGCTGCCACCATGTTCGAGTTCACCTTCCACCTCCGCCAGCGGGTCAGCGAGCTCTCTGCCAAGCCCTGAGCAGTGAGGGGGGGACATTCCCTCGCTGGACATTCCTCTCTCCCCTCTCCTCTGCGGCTGGGGGACACCAGGAGAAGACCCCGCCGCCCCCCAGGAGAGGATGCCCCCTACTAACAGCGCTGAGATGGGGCTGGGGGTGCTCAGCTCCTCCTCCCCCAACGGTTCTCCTTACCCGGGGCCCTGAAACCACTGACAGTTTGTGCCAAACCCCCCTCCCTGCCCTCCCCTGGGTCCCACCTCCTCCTGCCCCTCACCCAGGGCTGGGGGGCTCGTCTCTGACCCCCCTCCATTCCCCCAGACTCCTGTTCTTGTGCCCCACTTCCACGAGAAAGAGGGAGCAGAGGAGAAGGGTGAGGACACG